TAAATGACGTGTTATTAGTTGGTCAGTTACTGAGCGGCGCCATGGACACTGACCGCCCCGTGAGTATAGGCTCTGAAACAAACGGTATACGGTAAATGACGTGTTATTAGTTGGTCAGTCACTGAGCGGCGCCATGGACACTGACCGCCCCGTGAGTATAGGCTCCGAAACATACGGTATGCGGTAAATGACGTGTTATTAGTTGGTCAGTCACTGAGCGGCGCCATGGACACTGACCGCCCCGTGAGTATAGGCTCTGAAACAAACGGTATGCGGTAAATGACGTGTTATTAGTTGGTCAGTCACTGAGCGGCGCCATGGACACTGACCGCCCCGTGAGTATAGGCTCTGAAACAAACGGTATACGGTAAATGACGTGTTATTAGTTGGTCAGTCACTGAGCGGCGCCATGGACACTGACCGCCCCGTGAGTATAGGCTCTGAAACAAACGGTATACGGTAAATGACGTGTTATTAGTTGGTCAGTCACTGAGCGGCGCCATGGACACTGACCGCCCCGTGAGTATAGGCTCTGAAACATCCGGTATACGGTAAATGACGTGTTATTTGTTGGTCAGTCACTGAGCGGCGCCATGGACACTGACCGACCCGTGAGTATAGGCTCTGAAACAAACGGTATGCGGTAAATGACGTGTTATTTGTTGGTCAGTCACTGAGCGGCGCCATGGACACTGACCGCCCCGTGAGTATAGGCTCTGAAACAAACGGTATACGGTAAATGACGTGTTATTAGTTGGTCAGTCACTGTGGCGGGTAGAGCGATACTGAATGGCCGGTCGGGACCTGGCTGTTTACTCGGTCGGACCAACAGTTCGGGTGGGAGTGACGTCACACCACTGTCAGACCCGGTGTGGGATAGCGGTAGCGACACGGCGGGTGTGGGAGTGACGTCACACCACTGTCAGACCCGGTGTGGGATAGCGGTAGCGACACGGTGGGTGTGGGAGTGACGTCACACCACTGTCAGACCCGGTGTGGGATAGCGGTAGCGACACGGCGGGTGTGGGAGTGACGTCACACCACTGTCAGACCCGGTGTGGGATAGCGGTAGCGACACGGCGGGTGTGGCTGTCAATATCAGGGGACCTAAAACTGGACACTGGTGTTTCAGATCACCACAGACGTCACCATCACCAGCAGTGACATCACCACCGGCACCACCGGCAGGCGTGAGTACACCAACGGCAGCCGGGTCCGGCTTCACGGCTTCCGAAACCACTATCAAGTGAACTGCCATTGACTTACGAGTTACCGTAAATTATAATACAGCTACTATAAGACAATCTATGATGTTGTGTTTACAATTTGTCTGCTAAGTCAAAATATTTGTGATTGTAATTTCGCTTCTTTAGCGCTGTATCTAAAAGCTAATTATAAGTGACTGCATCTAAATTTCAGGTCCACCATCACCACCATCCCCAGCATGAACATCACCATCATCATCATCAACAGCATCACCGGCCCCGGGAACAAGCCCGCCACCAGCATGCCCGTAAGTGTCTAATCATGAACTTTCAATGAACACATGTAAAAGGTTTTCCTGTCGTCCTAATTTTGACCAAACTATTTGTCTTTTACGTCTTGTCCCTATTGTGTGTAACACGCTGATCTAAAAACCTACTGACTGCTTTCAGATCATCTACCATCACCATCACCGCCACCAGCACCACCACCAGCACCACCGGCTCCGGAACCAAGCCCGCCACCAGCCTCCGTGAGTAGGGGAAGTTGGGGCAATGCCGGAGTTGGGGCAAAGCCGAAATTCGAGATATTTCGAAAACCGTACGACATGGATGCCACCTTTCAGTGATGCTCTGAAGCTTAACCCGCGCGGGGCTGGGGGGGGGGTAAATTTTACCCCCCCTCGCGAATTTTTGCGATATCTCAAAAACGGCGGCGCGCAGCGCCGCCAAACTTTCAGTACCTTTTCTTACATCAATTTGACACGTTCCCTGAAAATTTGAGCGAAATCCGTCGGAAAATTTTTGAGAAATTGACGTTTTAGTGACGTCATGTTCGCCATTTTCGCCTCAAAAACGGCAAAAGTTCAAACGCCGCTAACATCTTCATTTTTAAAGGAATCAAGACGTAACAAAAAAGGTTATACGTAATTTTACTTTGTCTATCAAATGGCTATCTCGGTTTTTTGAAAATTTTGGATTTTGGCCTGAATGTTTTTCAAAAAACTGACTTTTTTGGGAAAATCATTATAAAATCCAAAATTTTGAGTCTATCGAAAAAACCGGAATATATGTCAGAGAAGTGGTCTATGTGCACCTACATACCAAATTTTAGAAGAATCGGTTAAAAAATGTGGGAGTTATTCAAAATGTTATGACGTCACGGCACACAATTTTTTTGAAAAATGACTTTTTTTGGAAGTTCTAGACCTCTTACGGAAACAAAAATAGCACCATTCGATTCGCCGTGAAAAACTGCATCAGATAGACACCTTTTTAGGCCTTAACAACCAACTTCAAAATTTGACCTCACTTGACGTGACCTTGACCTGACCTCGACCTGAAATTCATCCAGAGGTGGTCCATATCACTTATTGAGTGTGCTTCTTGAATTCTATGAGTAAAATGACCCATAAAACATGTGTCGCACATGCCCTTTTCTATATTTTGTTTTTTGGTGACCTGACCTGACCTGACCTGACCTTGACCTTGACCTCTGAATGATATTGTATGCAACGAATATTGTCTTGGTAGCCTAAAAACACGTTTTGGGCGATCAGTCTCAGTCCATGACTCCATTCTTCGGCAACTACGGTGCAAGGCCGATACTGTAGAAACTTGCAATTTGTACCCTTGACCTGACCTTGACCTTGACCTCAAACTTAAAATTAAGTACGTGTTTTTAGTAGTTCGTGATGAGAGCTTTCGATTGGCGTTTGAATTTTCCAAATCGGACCATTAGTTCGGGAGATAACAGGGGGGGGGGGGTAAAATTTACCCCCCCCCCCAGCCCCGCGCGTTCGGCTGGAGACCCCAGCCCCGCGCGGGTTAAGTGACTACCAATTATCGCATGTTTGTTACCAGTCGTCATTCGGAATACTTCGGCTGTGAGGGCGCCAAGAGCGTTTTCAAGGTACATTTCCTTTGTACTCAGGGCTGGTAAAAAGTGCCGATTCGGTGATAATATCGGAGCCAAGCCAGTAGCTGTTCGTAGGGTTTAAAGAGCCAAAATTAGGCGTTTCAATGCAAATTTGCATGTGCAAGACAACTGGTAAGTTTTGTTGAATATCTTCAGTTCATTTTCACATCAAATTTCAGCATATTAGATGCTGTAACACAAATATTGATTTAGTAGCAGCATCTTAATTCACAATGAGATATTCTGCGCAATCTTTGTCTACATTTCCTTAAACAGCTGACAACCTATTCAAAATGGTTGTAAATGTTTACCGTGAACAGCGTCAGCATTCGTCAGTCGATGAGCCATCAGTCGATTTCAGTCCCACGCACAAGGGGGAAAAGCTCAAATTATTGAGCGCTCAAAATATTGAGCGTGTGACGTCAGAGGCTCCCATAGGCGTAATGCTGAGGGCTCAAAAAATTGAGCCGTTTCAGGAACACGTTTTGCAAAAGCAACTCGCAACACCTAGGGAGAAATGGCAACACCCTAGGAGAATCACTAATGATGCAAAACAGATTAGGCTTTCATATTTTTCACTGCTCAAACTTCAATGATTGGGGGAACACCAATTTATAGGTCGAAATCGTACGGCATACCAGGATGACTTAAAAACAGGCCAATATTTATGTCGAAATAAAAGTTATTTTTTGTCCATTCACGTTTTTTACTAGGGTTCTGTTGGAAAGAGCATTTTTCATACTACCCAAAATGATTGCGACTCAATTTTACATTACCCATATCGGAGAATATTTTTCATTTGGCGGCGCCGTTTGTTTATTTCGTCGCGACGTCTCCGGTCGCGTGGTTGTCGTCATCCTTGTGTTGAAGGTAAGTTTTTATCGTTTTAGTTATACTTCGATGTTAAAAGGTACACTGAAAAGTTTGAATATGCTGTGATTTTAAATTTGGAAACACGTAATCGTCAATCAATTCTCGTTTTCCTCGATTTGCGTGTAGATAAGTAACTGTCGACGAAAGTGGCGCCATCCAATATGATGTTTTGAGGGAAGGAGACACAACATATTTACGTGAAAATTTTTGTTTTTTAGTGGTCTAAGTGCTTCAAAGAGGCTGTGAATGTTTTCTTCACACAATTTTTCATTAGGTATGATGAGGTAAAAGGTAGTTTCAGTCTTAACTTTCATATAATTGACATATTAATTGATTGACATATATATTGATATATGTCAATATATGATATATACATATATGTATATATCATATATGTATATATATATACATATATATACATATTAAAGGTGTTTTTTATATGATATATACATATAAAAAAAAACACCTTTAATATGTCAATTGATATAATTGACATATTAAAGGTGGCCCTTTTCCTTTAAAGGAAAAGGGCCACCTTTAACATGGGGATTTAAACTGAGATAGCCATCTTGTAGCCCGTGTCCGAAAACCTACTTGCCTACCCTCTTACGGCCGATTTCGGCCTCCATTCGAAGTTATCGGCAATTTTAAAAGAAAATATGCCAGGAATGCGTCCTTATCCCAGGAATGCGTTCTTATCCGACAATACAGCCACCCGCGGCGAGGCTTTGGTTTTTAACCAATCAGCTTGCAGCAGTACTGATCAGGCACGGATCCCTGTACTAGCGAGCAGACCATGAGCAGTTGCGTTATTTTTCGTTGTCTGTTCTGGCAATCGGCCGGCGGATGAACATCCGCAATCGAATCTTGAAATCCGTCGCGCTGATTGGTGATGAGTTTCATGAGCTACTTTCATGAGGTCTATGAAAGTAAACCTATGCTATGCCCTGAACAGATGACATCTCGTTTTTATCTTACGCAAATGTATCTTTTATCTTTATATATTTTATACCGTGGCTCTGATCCGAAATCAGGGCATTTTTGTTCGAACAAATACCTATAATAACGATGAAGAAGTGTGTGATCCGCGGAGCAAACGACCTACGTCGGGTCGGGACTGATATGCGTGTGACTGTGCACAAGTAAGTAGGTACCTAGGTACCTAAATTCTTATTTATTGCAATGGCTCTTCTATTACTTTTGTTTTCACAGAACTCTCCCCTGGATTAGCAAATCCTTTTGAACTGTTCAGGCTTTCACAACTGAAATGCCAGACTGGATAAAAAAAAACACAAGTTATGCCGAATATGTCAGGCGAAGTGGCGTGATTGCGGCATTGCCCCGAAAATTTCATCGCACATCCAGCATAATTTTGCATGCGTCAAATTCAGCGCATGGTGGCAGCTGACTTTTTAGGCGCAGGGTGACCGCATGGCGCATAATGTTCATGCAAATGGCTGTCACCGAATTTTTTGACACGCTATGGTCAATCTAGCAGCAGACTTGCCCTGCGGGTGCTGGCAGGTCTGAAGAGAGTCGGAACTTCTGGCCTGGGCCTTGTTTCACCTTAAGATTCTACAGTGTGCCACACATATTGTGGTATTGGGTTTTCATGGGAACATTAACTAATTCAGACCCTCAGAAAGGGAATAGCGTCTGACTCTGAGGCCCCGGAACGATCTGTCTGGTTGATATAGCCTTGGTCGGTAGATATGCACATGTGCTTTATGTAAAAGTGGCTTAATTTTGGTGCAAACAGGCACCCAACTTCCAGTGGAAATCATGCACTGGAATTTCAGCTCAAAATTGCTTGCTTCAAATTTTGGCGCATGAGGGGCTCACGGGCGTCCGGCGTAGTGTATGGATGTTTTCCAGTCTGGCTGAAAGGTAGAACTCAAACACATTTATCCATCCCTTCAAATCCCATTTCCTGGTTGTGGTAACACCTACCTTTCCATCGGGGTTTGGTTTATCTCTTGTCTACACAGTTTTCTTTCACTTATGTGCCGACAAGAAAAGGAAACTCACCAGAGCCCAGTTTCACCAAGTGCGGTAAACTCAATTTGGGGTAAACTACCAAACTACCCCACTACTTAACTACAAAAACTACCCCAAAATTAAGTTTACCGCACTTGGTGAAACTGGGCTCAGTGGAGCTATTCAGCTAAATACACAGAGTATGTGTTGCATGGACTAAGCATGTGTTGACCCTTTTTTACTTTTAGGTTCCCGCTAAAAAAAGAAGTACAGAGAAAAGTGGATGAGGGTGTGTGGCATGACCAATGAGCCAAGACCACATGACCACTTAAACTTAACAAGAAGTGCGCACCATGATAAGCACAGTCAAAAACGTTTGCGTCTAAAGAACAGTGCTGTGCCGGATCAGAATGTAAGCTATTTTTTAGAAGTGATGAAAATGCCTGCTATATTGTTTTAGAAAAAATTATCAAAAGACTGAATATTGTTTTTATAACACTACTCTAAAGTTATTCCTAGTACCAGACATTACAGCTTTAGTGCAGAGTCTTTATTTGTGATATTTTTAGCCAAAAATTATTACTAGTACCGAGCCCTTTCAGCTTTACAGCCCTAGTACCTTCCCCTTATTTTTTATATTTTTTAGCCATTTCAACCTAACCGAATATCTGTATGTTTGTATGTTATTGTTTTGATCAGTATTTTAACTCGTATGCTACCTCCCTATAGGTAAGTTTTATTAAAACATGTGGTAACGGTGTGCTGATTTTTTACAGATTCCGTATACGCCTTGGGTTGCTGTCGCTGCTCGGTCATCCACAGATGAAAGTGATCAAGAAATGGACATCACTCAGGTAAGATTCAAGCGTCCTTTATTTTACGTCCAAATTTGAACGCAATCGGCCCAGCCGTTCTCGAGATCTGGAAGCGCCCCCCCCCCTGCACGTGCGCACGTGCAGTAGCACCCTAACCGCAACATATGGGAATGCATTGCCTGGTGGGTGCCTACTGCCTACCTGTATGCCAAGTTTCAGCTAAATCGCCCCAGTAATAACAGAGTTATTGAAATGGGAACAAATTCGGCACCTCTTCTTTTTGCATTTTGCACGTGCAGTGGGGGTCACTCACATAGATCAAGAGCATCCGACCTTTGGTTGAAGGGGTGCAGCTACCCTACAAAATTTACCGCAAGACCGCCCAAGCGGCTGCTGAGATATGAGCCTCTCAAAATCACTTCTTTTGCAAATTTGACAAATAACACCCTTGACTTTTCACGTGGCACGTGCCACGACGGTCCTTGAAATGTATCAAGAGGTCAATTACGGGGTAGAGGGAATAGGACTACCCAACAAAAAAAAGACCGCAGGCCAATCGGTCCAGCGGTTGCTGAGATATAAGCCTCTCAAAAGCGTTACAGGCCGGGCCGGGTCGGGCCGCTCATACTGAGCTTTTTCCGTGATATTGAAAAGACTTCGCTTCGCTCGCTCGCTCGTAATTGACAATTCATGGTTGACTCTATATGGATTAAGCTAAGTGATTGCGCTCTATTAGCACACTATCTAAGTAGCCCTTAATTGCTGCCGGTGCGTGGACTGTGAAAGTGAGCCGAGCTGTGACGCAAACCGTGCGCCTTTTTCAGGTGTGGGATCACTCGTGGAAGTTCACGGCGGATACGGAGCCGTGCATGCAGCTCTGGTTCGATCCTGCTCAGGGAAGCCCCAATGACGCCGTGGCGCGCATCTGGGCTGAGCGGGTGATGGCGGCCGGTGCCGCGTGGCTGGTGGCCGCGGCCCGCTCCTGACCCGGTCGCCCTGTGCCGAGCACAGAGCGCCGACTGAGGTCAGTCTTGTGATCGAGCTTCCGCGCCGGAGGTGGAACAGGTGGAGCTGGCGGTCACCTGCGCGGGCACGGCGGCCTGTAAGCCGTGCCGAGACGAACCGCGACACTCTTGCTAGATCTGCACCCCATTGTAATCTTCTGTAGTCGATATTCGGTAGGTACTCAATGCTCATTTTTCTGATATTAGACGAGTGGCGTGTTTTGATGTTACATTGGAGACTGCTGTCTCGGGTGGCCCGACAGTGTTCGATTGTGGTGTAATGTAGATACATAGACGGGATGCCGCGGCTCGGATTCGTAGCTGGACTACCATGTGCCTGTCGATTGAGATGCTTTGCCTGGCGATTGAGATGATTCGGGGCGCGGCCCCACACTGACGCCATGGTGCAATGAGTGACTGGCGACAACTAAGCAATTATGTACTTTTGTAGAGCACATGTTTTCATGGATACGAGAGGCAGTCCTTTTTTCGCTAGCAGTCATTTGGTTCACGATACTTTCGATACCGACAAATATGTTCGGGCGGCCGGTCCGTCCACAGCTGATGTGTGCTTGCCCGCCGATGCCTAACGGAGCGCTGTGCTGTCTACGCTCACTGGTCGCTGGCCCGAGAGGCGTTCGGTTGCTGCTGTTAAAACAGTTCTCACAAAAACACGCTGGCTGGCTGCCAGTTCTTCACCAATGAGAGGCCCAGTAGCATCAGCAGGTAGCATTGTTTAATATTACTATTCCATTTTGTTTACCCATATGTCCGACCTAGAGCCGACTGGTAAAAAGCGGCAACCGAGCAGCCCTCCGCAGCGCTGCAGATCATATACGCTCGATTACACACAATATATGTGTCTTTCTTGCACACAGAGACATGACGTTTTGTAGAGCTTTTATATCGCTTGCGGCTGAAATGAATATTGTACATTTTAGAGCTTTCATATACGCGAGAAAATATGGTGCAAAAAAAACATTTATGAAGCCTGTTGAATTTTAAAGGTTGTTGGGGCATTTCACAGACTGTGTCGGTGGTCAGGGCAGCCCGGCCCCGGCCGCCGCCGCCTCCTTCACTGGTATGTGGCAGGGACGGAAGCTTCGTATTGATATACCGGGGTGCAACTCAAGCAGCATATCACCTATCAAACAACCTTCGGTTATGAAGTGAATGAAAACTAAATATTATGTATAACTGTGGTCTGCGCTGCGGTGTTTCCAAAGTGGATGAGGTACGGGGAGCTGGACCCAGACTCGATGAGCCCTCTACTACGGATCTGGGTCTTCGCAGCTGATCGTCTGTGAATGAGAGATCATATGATACCAATGCATACCGAACGGATCAAAAACAGTGCCATTATATATTTGCAATTCTACAGCTTTACGTAAGCCCATCCTAGAGAATGCATCAATACGCGTTGATTTGACAACTGACATCCGGTTGAAGGCGTTTTTTTTCGGCCAACAGCCGGCCAGCAGTTGTTGCAGGCCGGCCTCGTTGGGAAGCAGGTTCATTTTCCGACAGCCACTGCGTGCGGAAGCACTCTCTGATGGCGCGGACGGCGCGCGCCGGCTCCTGTTTCTGTGACGTGTAGAGGCGGGTGTCGAGCAGCTGGGCGCGTAGCGGGCGGTCCTCGAGCACGCGGAACGCGGCCGGCTGGCGCGGGTACAGGCGCTCCCTAAACAGCAGGCCCGATTGGTGGCAGAGTCGAGCGTCGCGGCGCGGCAGAGTCGAGCGTCGCGGCGCGGCAGAGCGCGCGGCGCGGCCGCCGTCTGTTCCAGCTCGGCGTCGGCGCGCCCCTCGGCGAACAGCAGGTGCAGCTGACGGTCGGCCAGGCAGAAGCCGCTGATGCCAGGTGTGCTGACGTCGCCCGGCCGGCGCGGCGCGGTGCCCTCGGCCGCCGCCGGGCTGGGCGGCTCGTTGAGCTGTTGGATGAGCTGCAGCACGCCGCTGCGCTGCAGGCCGCGCTGCGAGACCACGGCCAGCAGTCGGCCATAGGCGCAGCGCGCCGGCGCCGGCCGCGGCAGCAGGTCCAGCGGCACGGCCAGTGACACGGAGACGGACAGCTGCGCCGCCGACTGGAGCAGCTGCAGCGGCCCGAACGGCGGCTGACACGTGCCGCGCTCAATGTCGGCCGCCGGCGAGGCAGCCGCTCCGGCTGGCACCGCTGTTAGCGGCACCTCCACACTGAGCAGGCGCACGCCGCGCGTCAGAGCAGAGACATCCACCACCACCTGCCGCGCACACAGAGGGCCGACAGTGGTGACAGCGCGCGGCGGGTCAGACCTCACAGTGGGGATAGCGGCAGCGGGTCAGACACCCTTATAGAAACAGCATGGGGCGGAGCCGACAAAAGAGGACGAGGAGACGGTCATACAGCCGACTGAGGTCCGGGCACCGACTGACTCAAAGTGCTGAACATGTCACACATTTCTAAATGGCTTCTGTAGGACGGAATAGTGTCTCTTCCTTCCAAGGCTTCCTTGCAAAATAATATGGAAAGACACAATTTTACAAGTTGTTTTTATGACATAAGTTCTTTATAACATTTCAACACGCAAACATCATACCTTGACAATTGTTCACGATGAAGATCATGCAGGAGCATTTCATATTTAGTCACCCTTGATTATTTTGTTGATAGGTAGTGATGCGAAAGGCAAATTACCAAAGTATATATTTGCAATTATTTGAGTTAATAATTTCAACTTTTTTGTGTTGAAAATTGACTTTTGAAACAATAAAGGCAAATGAATTATCAGTGTCTGGAAAGGTGCAATGCTGAAAGCTTCTTATTACATTCTAATTTATATCTAAAGCTTTGTGATATCCAAACTCTCAGAAATAACCAAGGACGTAACCAAGGAGGGGGGAGGGGCACGGGAGCCATGCCCTCGTGCCCCTTCCCCCCTCGGCGATGGCGAATTTTTTTTTATAATAAAAACAGCTGTGACACACCCCCAAAATAGTGGGCCTAATCCGAGAAATTTTCCTTTTTTTGGAGGGGGTACAACACTAAGCCACAACCTGTCACCCCCCCCCCCCCCCTCAGCAAAATCCTGGCTACGTGCCTGGAAATAACAAAGCACATCCTATCCTTTGATGCCACTTACCAGCAGCTTTGCGCACTACCAAACAGCCACCTTTGGGCCTTTGTTGTTCTTGTTTTGGGCATTGTCAGTGGTAACTGGAAATAATCAGACATGATGGTCAGAGTAGGGAATGTGACTACAACAAAAATCATTTGATTCCTACAATATAGACATGATTTAATAGAAGACCTTCTTCTTAAAAAAGTGTGTCATGGATACCAGCTAATCTGTATGGTATTTATATCCAGTATTATCATATAGGTACATATAACAATTATCACCACCCGCCACCATTGAATGTAGGTTTTAGGTTGTAGGTTGTAGGTGGTAGGTCGGGTATCGGTAAAGCTGGTGTCACCGTCAGCGCTAACCGGTAAATGTAAAGATAAAAGGAAGCTTAAAAACAATCTAACCTAACCTAACCTTACCTAGTACCTACTGACCTACAACCTACAACCTACCTACCTACAACCTACCAAACTAATATACGCTGACAGTGATGCCAGCTTTACCAATGCCGTACGTTGTAGGTTGTAGGTAAGGCTAGGTCAGGTAAGATTATGTTTCATTATATATTTACTGAGAAGACGGCTGAATGCTCTTGAGACGTGGCTATACATTTACATTTTGTAAGTAATTTTCAGGTTTCAATGAATATTTCCTAGTGGAATGTTTTGAAAACCATTCTAAATGATGACCTTTAGCATTCAATAGTACTTTAAAGCTAATTAACCACATCGCCAATGCTAGGTCACATTGCATGCCTTTCACCGGCAGCTCCATGGGATATATGATAGGCAGGGGTAAATGAAATATTTTTTATTAATATTCTTGAAGAAAATTATAGGCATGAAAAGAAGATGATCTGCCTTTGAGATTGATATGTGATGCCTACTTTGGAGGAACATAATCATAATAATTACACAATCATAAAAAATGCAATGTAACCAAACAGCCGCTTATGCCGCAAAATGAGAATCAAGCCAATCACTGAGGACAAACAATTTCAAACCACCAAAACTATATTCTTGCTATTCACCAATAATCCTAAAATAGCGTTCCATGGCCATTATATGCATCTTTCACCCTTACCTCCGACAGATAACTAGCGCCACGGGCAGACACACGGGGCGACAAGTTGTTTACAACCGCTACAGTCCGACGAGTCTATCCTCCTCAAGGCTGATTGGCTTGAGTGTGACGTCATTGCTATGACATCATACAGTAGCTGCGGTAGAGAGTATAAACATAGTACCAATATGTTAAATAGTTTGAAATACTTTTTAGCGAATTATGCACTTCTGGCACCGGTTTTGAAAAGAAAATGAAAAATAATAATGTCAAAATAAAAACCAACGATATCTTCATATTTCAGGAAGGTGGCACTTTTCCTTTAAAACATATGATAGTCCACTGCTATCAGTGATTGAGTACCTTGATATTTGGCATTTCTTATTAATTTGAATGTATTCTCTATCCATATGTCCTGATAGTAAGTGACAATACTCTGCCAATATATTTCCATAGTTTTCACATTCATTTTCCAGTCCTTAACATAAAATCAATTTAGAATCAACAAAACTCAACTCGTTCGTTACTTCACAACACTGACAGCATGACAGACTGACAGTCAACTATTGTGTGTGTGAATGCTGAAACAGGATAGCCACTTTGCTGACTGGCTCATATGAAATAAGATAAAAATGATCCTTTATATCATTTCCATCTGGAGGATCGGAGTCAACAGAAAAGGAAGGCCACTTTCAAGCCTCAAGGTCTAGGCCGCCAGACGCCAGTCAGCAGTCACCAGGCAGTCACCACCAAATTTATAATAGATTAATTC